GCACCTTGTCCTGAACACGCCGGGTCCCCGCAGGGTGCTCGCTGAAGGTGCTGGCGGACAGCGAGCGGTACACGTGGATCGTGCTGTGAGGAGGGCCGGCGGCCGCCCCCGACACGGACACGGACACGGACACGACACTGCCTCCAACTACCTCCGCGGCGCCGCCCGGCCGCCGGCCTTGCGGGAGGGGGCGGCGCCTGCAGTCTGGACGCTCGTTATTTATGCCTATTTAAGTGGGGGAGGGGCCCGGGGAGGGCGCCCTGCCCCGGAGCCGCGCGCGACCCTGCCCCCTGCCCGGAGCGGCGCGCGCCCTCCCGCTTGGTCCTCTCCGCGTAATAAATGTTGCAGCCCCTGCCCGCTGAGGGCCGGCAGCAGAAGGCAAATGTCACGTGGAGTTTATTGTCTTTAGAAAGGCTACAAAACGTAGAAAACAGCTGGGCGCGGCGCACGGGCACGCGCGGCGGGGGACCCCGCACGGGGCCCACGGGCGCCCGCACAAGCGGCTGACACGACACGGCACGGTTCCCTTCGTTTCTGGGTTTTTTTTTTTTTTTTCTTTTTTTTTTTTTCCATAAACATCGACCTCACGGGTTGAAAACACGAAGAAAACTGGGACAGATAAGGCCATGATGGTTGGAAAGACAATCCAAGTTACCGGCTCCGCTGGGGGGCGCTCACGACCACTCACACACTAGTCACGGCTGGGGAGGGGGCGCGGGCGGGGGCGGGGCAGGTTCCGATACAAAGCAGCGACCGCGGGGTGCGGAGCGCGGGGTGGGGTGGGGGCACGGGCCCCTCTGAGCCCCCCCAACAGCCGCTCTTTGGAAGCCAGAGGCCGGGGGACCCCCTCCCACCAGCCCCCGGGGACCGGGCCCGGCTCTGGAGACGCCGCAGTGCCCACGGCTTTAATTGCACTTATGCCGAGAAGGGGGAAGCGGTGGGGTCGCTGCGGGGGGGGGGAGGGGGCTGCGGCTGCCGGCGGCAATGGGGGTGCTGTGACGCCCACCTACGCACGCCCAGGGCCGGGGTGGGGCCCAGGGCGAGCTGTGCAAAGCCAGCGAGCAGAATAAGTTAACGGGTCCTGGGGGAGGGGGCCTGCCAGCCTGCCCCCGGGGCGAAGGGGGTGCTGCGGCCTTGGGGGCACCCGGGCACGGCGGCGGTTCCTAAGGCACTGTCTCGTCTTCTGTGTCGGTTTGCAGCTGCGGCCCCGCCCGGCCCTGTGATTGTGCCGGCCCTGGGGTGGGGGGAGGGGGCTGGGCCCCCCAGGAGCGGTGGGGGGGCCCTGGCGTGGAGGGGGGCTTAGCTGGAGGGCAGCGCCGGCACGAACAGGCCGCGCGTGTCAGTCCGAGCCAGCTTGGCGGGCGGCTGCAGGGCCTCGGGGCCGAGCGCGGGCGACTGGCCGCCGGCCGCCAGCGAGATGTCCTGCGGCAGCTCGTCCTCGCTGTCCTCCTCCTCCTCCTCCTCTTCGTCTGGGCACAGGGGGCGGGCGCGGCTCAGCGGGCGCAGGGCACCCCCTACCCCCAGCCCCGCACCTGCCACCCCCCCCGCGCCCCGCTCTGCTCACCTTTGTCTGCGTCCAGGGGGTTCAGCGCTGTGGTCAGGTTGGCGAACTGCGGGGGGCGGGAGACGGAGGTGAGGGCCCCGCCGGCCCGCGGCCCGCCCGCGCCCGCCCGCGTCCCCCCGCGCCCCGCCGCGCGCACCTCGCCCATGACGGCGATGGGGGTCTCGCCCTTGGCCTGGGCCACGCGGTGCTCGATCAGGTAGTACATGTACTCGTCGTAGAGCAGCCGGATGAGGTGGAAGGAGCCGAAGCTGGCGGCGCTGCGCAGGGTCAGGTCCCGGATCACCATGGAGCTGGGGGCCGGACAGAGGCGCGGCACGGCTGAGCCCCGGAGAGGCTGCCGCGGCCGCCCCGCCCAGGGGGCGTGGTCCCGCCCCGCCCCGCCCCGCCGGCGCGCACCTGTAGAAGGACCACTTGAGGAGGAAGAGCTTGGCCGCCTTGGGGAAGCCGGCGCTGCCCTGGTAGGGCTTGAGCACCTGGCTCACCACGCCGTCCAGCCAGGCCGCCCACTGCTCCAGCGAGTTCTGCTGCTGCAGCGTCACCTTGAAGTCCTGCTCCAGGCGCTGCACCACGCGGTCCTCGCAGCGGCACACCCACGAGGCCTGCTCCTGCGGCACAGCGGGCGGGCGCACCCGGGTCTCAGCCGCCCCGTCCCGCCCCGCCCCCGGACCGGCCCCCCGCCCCGCCCACCCCACCTGCACGTTGGCGAAGTCCACGCGGTTGAGGTCGCTCAGCATCTGGTTGATCTGGGCCGTGTTCTGCAGCACGGCGCGCGCCGCCTGCGCCAGGTGGTTGAGTGACGTGTAGCGCCGCAGCGTCTGCGCGAAGGCGCCGGCCGCCGCCACCTGCGTGCAGGGCCGGGGTCAGGGCTTCCGCGGAGCCCAGCCTCCCTCCCCCTTTCTAGGTGGGGGTGTGAGCGTGGCGGGTCCCACCCAGGGGCAGCGTTACCGTGCCCTGGCCGGCGCTGGCACGGACTTTACTGCAAGGTCACCGCGGGGCCCGGAGAACCCCGCCGGGCATGTATACAGTAGGTGCTCAGGGAGCGCAAGCGGAGCGGACACCTGAGCACAGGAGCCGTGCCCAGAGCTCCCTCCGGGCTCCGCGCCTCCGACTCGCCGGCCCCGGGCGCCTGGGCCCGTATGGGCGAGGCCGGGCTGCTGACCCCGGCTCCCCGCTCCGCGCCCAGGCAGCCACGGGGCAGCCGTGCGGCAGGCGGGCGTCCTCGCCCACAGCCTGGAGCCTGCGTCCGCACGCAGCCAGCCCGTCCTAGCGAGGCCGCCTTGCAGTCGGGTTGCATTTTCTCTCCGGGGCAGGCACGGGGCAGGGGTAAGCGGCCGCCCCAGCACCCTGGGAGCGGGGCCCGACCTCAGGGCGCCCCCGCACCTTCACCCGCAGCATCTCCTCCGGGATGTTCACCATGGCGTGGGTGAGCCAGCTCTCCAGGCTCTTGGCGAAATTCCGGATGGCTTGGGTCAAGGCACCTGTGGGCAAGGCGGGGCGGGGTGGAGGTGGTGATGTGGGGGCGGGGCACTCACTGGTGGTGGGCGGGGCTGGAGGTGCGGCCAGAGCACTGGGTGGGCGAGGCCGGGCCGGGGCGGGTGCTCACTAGGGGTGGGCTGCAAGAGTGGGGTGGGCGGGGCGGGACCGCAGCACTGGGTGGGCGGGGCAGGGCGGGACTGGCGCTCACTGGGGATGGGCCGCAGCACATCCGGGATGAGGATCTCCACCAGGCCCTGGTAGAGCACGTTGTCACAGCGCTTGGTCCACTGCAGCACGGGCTCGAACTTGGACAGCAGCACCAGGCTGGCCTTGGGCAGCCGCTTCTCGGCCTCGTCGTGCCTGCGGGCCCCCAGTCCAGCCACGGCAGCCCGGGTCACACGTGCACGCAGGCCCCCGTGACCCCCGCCCCGCCGTCCCGCCGCCCTGCCACGCGGCCGCCCGGCACTCACACGGCCAGCGGCGGCGCCTCGCTGGGCTGGCTGAGGTTGTACCGCCAGAAGGTCTTCCACAGCGTCTCCACCAGCGTGAACTGCAGGTTCACCATGACGTCCACGATGGCCTGCGGGGAGGCCGGAGGCTCAGGGGCGCGGGCCGCGGCAGGGCAGGGCCTCCCGTGCGCCCAGGCCCGGCCCAGCCCCTTACCTCGCAGTGCTCCCGGTACAGCAACTGGAAGGCCTTGATGTCCCCGGGCCCCACGCCCTCGGGCAGCGCTTTGCCCTGCAGCTCCAGCTCTGCGAAGTCGGGGAGCGTCCTCGAGGCATCTGGGGGGGCAGCAGGAGACCCACTTATCCCCAGCCCCACCTGCGCGTTCCCCCAGGGCCTTCCCGCGACATCCCACCATGGCGGCTCCATCCTTCCACCAAGGGATGCGGGGGCGGGGTGGTGTCTCAGGACTTGACAGACACAAGCGTGCAGCCTGAGAGCCCCAGGGTTGGCGGGGGCAGGACAGTGAGCCACAGCCGCTCACAAAGGGCGATGCTGCCTGGACCCTACAGACACCGGGTACCCCCACGCCCCACGCCTGCCTTCCTGTGGGGGCTCTAACCCCAGGGGCTGCCGGAGGCCCTCTCTGGGAGTCCCGCCCCAGTTACATCGCTGGCTGATGTCTAGGATGCACCTGCCGGTGGGCGGGGCTGCGGGGGCGGGGGAGAGGGAGGTCACCATGGCCCGGCTCCGCCCCCGCCTGCTCATGCCTGAGGCGGCTCACCCAGGAACTGCTGGTACTGCTGGACCTGGGCGCTGATGTCCGCCAGCCCGGCAGCCTGGGGCTGCCCCGCGGCCACGCCGTTCGTCATACCCTCCATCTTCTGGATAGGCTTGAGCCTGCGGGGGCGGGGCCAGGAGGGTCGGTGTGGGGGCGGGGCCTGTGGGGAAGGAGGCCCCGCCCCCACCTGGCCCCGCCCCCTCTCACCTCTGCTTCTGGGAGAAGGGCTGGCCGCGCATGGCCATGTGTTGCTGGTCCTCCATGAGCCGCAGCAGGGGCGAGCTGGCTTTGATGCGCAGGCCGTAGTAGTGGTACTTGGAGTTGCCCCTGGGAGGGAGGTGGGTGTGACCGCCGGGCTGGCACCTTCCCCGGGGGTGAACAGAGACCCCTCCCTGCTCCAGTGCCCTTCCCCCAGCGCTGGGAGAAAAGGGGGGGCGTGACCCTGGCACCAGTGAGGAAACTGATGCTCACTGGTCTGGCACTTTGCTTGAATGAATGAATGAATGAATGGACTGGATCCCGGCGAGGCGCGGCAGAGAGGAAGAGGGGTGGGTTCCGGAGATGCCTCCTGCCATGTGTGTACCCCCTCCCACCGCCAAGGTCACCCTAGACGGCACGCTGGGGGGTACTAAACGCCGAGGGGGAAACCGGAAGCGGGACGGGCAGTGCAAAGGCCCGGGGCAGGTGGAAGAGTGAGCGCGGGGCGGGGGGCCCCACCTGGTGCCGAGTCTCCGCGTGCGCAGCCCCATGAAGACCGAGCGGATGAGCTTGCCGAAGGAGGCGGCGTTGACCGGCTCCAGCTTCTGCTCCTGGCAGTGCAGCAGGTAGTGGCAGTAGAGGGTGCTCCGTGGCAGGCTCACGCCCTCGGCCGTCTCATAGTTGTCCAGCAGCCACTGCACCTGGGGACGCGGGGACACGGGGGGGGGCGCTCGGAACCGCTTCCGCGTCTGCATCTGCGTCCTGAGCGCTTGTGGCTGCCCGCCCTCCATCTCCTCCCGTCAGATCTCACTGCTCCCCAGAAACCAGAGCCCATGGAACCTTCTAGAACTACACTGTCCGATTCCATTGCCACTCGCCTTGCACGGCTATCTAGACACGAAATCTGCATGAAAAGCCACGTTGGAGTCCCAGGGTGAATCCTAGTGGCTCTGATTCGGACCCAGCTCCCTGCTTCTGCGCGGTGCTCGGGCCCCACCGCCTTCCCGCCCAGCTGGGGCCCGCCCCAGGCACTCACCGTGGCTGGCGAGGCACGGGTGGTGTGGGAGTAAGACTGGCTGGCGCTGCCCAGCACGTAGCCGCCTTGGATCACGTAGGTGCCTGCTCCGCCGCCGCCGCTTCCGCCTCCGCCACCACCAGCCCCGGCGCCGCCGCCACCCCCGCCGCCGCCGCCCCCACCTCCACCGCCGCTGCTGCCTCCGCCCCCGCCACTGCCACCGCCAGACCCGCTGCTGCTCGCGGAGCTGGCGACGACCTGGCTGCCGGACACGTACATGGGCACGGAGCCGCTGGGGGCCACGGCCTGGGAGGTGGCGGGGGTGCTGACCTGGGCGGCCGTGCCTGCCGCCTCGTAGTAGCTGGTGCCGGCCGGCTGCGTGTACAGCGGCGTCTCGGGGTAGGGGTAGGTGCTGGAGCGGCTGGGGGGAGAAGCAGAGGGCATGGAGCAGGGGGGCATGAGAGCTGGGCGGGGCACCTCCGCAGGGCCAGGGGGCGTTCTAGGGGGGCAGGGGGAGGGGGCCATGTTCCCTGGATTTGCCCAAGCAATGCGCTTAAGAAGCAGGGCTGGGCCGGGGCAGAGCACCCTGCAGGTCTCCCACGGGTGTGGCAGGGACCCGAGCGCTTGAGCGGCCGGCCACCTGCAGTCTCCCGAGGTCTGCATTAGTGGGGAGCCAGGACTTGAACCTGGCACTCTGCCGTCTATGGGACGCGGGCGCCTCGCCCTTTGGGTTTCTGGAAGGTGGCAGGTGGCGCCGGTGGGCAGTGTCCCCGGCTCAAGAGGGCTCTTTGGATTGGATTCCTAGAGGAGGTGAGGCCCCCGAGGCTGGAGGGCACGAGGGGGGGTAGGGGGCGGGTTCCAACTCCCTGCTATGTGTACCGTGGGAGGCCGCAGGTGGGGGCTCAAGTACTTGGGCCCCTGCCGCCCAGGAGAGTGGGAGACCCCAGGCTGGAGCTCCTGGCTCCTGGCTCCTGGCTTCAAGCCAACCCAGCCCAGCTACTGTAGGCATTTGGGGAGTGAACCAGCAAAGGGAAGATCTTGCTCTTATTCTGTCTCGGTCACTTTGACTTTGAAATAGCTAACTAAATCTTTTTTTAAAAAAGAGGCCGGGGCCGCGGCTCACTAGGCTAATCCTCCGCCTAGCAGCGCCGGCACACTGAGTTCTAGTCCCGGTCGGGGCGCCGGATTCTGTCCCGGTTGCCCCTCTTCCAGGCCAGCTCTCTGCTGTGGCCAGGGAGTGCAGTGGAGGATGGCCCAGGTGCTTGGGCCCTGCACCCCATGGGAGACCAGGAAAAGCACCTGGCTCCTGGCTCCTGCCATCGGATCAGCGTGGTGCGCCGGCCGCAGCGCGCTGGCCGCGGCGGCCATTGGAGGGTGAACCAACGGCAAAGGAAGACCTTTCTCTCTGTCTCTCTCTCTCACTGTCTACTCTGCCTGTCAAAAAAAAAAAAAAAAAGAGAGAACTTTGGGCTAAGAGTTTAGCCTCGCAGTTGGGGGTGCCGGTGGGCGTGCCCCTGCCCTTTGTCATGGTGCCTGGGTTAAATGCCAGGCCCCAGCACCCGGCCCCACCCAGACCCTGGAAGGCAGCGGTGATCACACACCGAACTAGGCTCCTGCCACCCGCGTGGGAGGCCTGGATCAGGTTCCTAGCTCCTGGCTTCAGCCCAGCCCAGATCCTATGCAAGCACTTGTGGGGTAAGCCAGCAGCTGGAACCTTTCTCTCTCTCTCTCTCTCCCTCCCTCCCTCCCTCCGCCTCCCTCTCAAACTAAAAACTTAAATATATATATATATATATATGTATATATATATATTTGGGAGGCAGAGAGAGAGATTTTCCATCTACTGGTTCACTCTCCAAATAGCCCCAACGACCAAGACTGAGCCAGGCTGAAGCCAGGAGCCAGGAGCTTCTTCTGGGTCTCCCACGTGGATGCAGGGGCCCAAGGACTTGGCCCATCTTCTGCTGCTTTTCCTAGGTGCACCAGCAGGGAGCTGGATCGGAAGTGGAGCAGCCAGGACTCGAACCTGCACCCATATGGGATGCCGGCACTGTAAGTAGTGGCTTTACCACAGCACTGGCCCCAGGTACAAAAAACTTTTAAATATGTGCATAATTTTTAAAATAATAAACATGTTCTGCGAGCTTTTTGAAGACCCATGAAGGAAAAACACATCTTATGGGGGAAAAGACTTATGTGTCGATTTCAAGACTTGGCCCAAAATAAAGGGGTCTTCTCATTCTCTCTTTCCAGGCCCCTGGCACAGGTGACACGTGGGGAACCTCTGTTGTGGCCAGGGCCACTTGGATACTGATGGCATCATTCATAGACTATGGGCCATACAATACGATCTGCCTAGAAATTATCCTGCTGGGGCCGGCGCTGTGCCATAGAAGGCTAAGCCACTGCTGCAGGGCCAGCATCCCATGTGGGCACGGGTTCCAGTCCCGGCTGCTCCACTTCGGATCCAGCTCTCTGCTATGGCCTGGGAAAGCAGTGGAAGATGGCCCAAGTCCTTGGGCCCCTGCACCTGCGTGGGAGACCTGGAAGAAGCTCCTGGCTCCTGGCTTCAGCCTGGCCCAGCCTTGGCCGTTGCAGCCATCTGGGGAGTGAACCAGAGGATGGAGGACCTCTCTCTCTCTCTGTCCTTCTCTCTGTATCTCCGCCTTTCAAATCATTCGATCAATCAATCTTTGAGGAGCCACCCAGGCCCAGGCACGAGGCTCCACTCTGCCTCTCATCTCCCAGGGCTCCATGGGGGCTGGCCTCCTGTTAGGAAGCCTGCCCTAGCCCCTGCTGGCTTGGGTCCATTGGTCAGTGGGAAGATTGACAGCTGTGGAAACCAATTGGTGGCACCAAAATTTAGCTGCACACTGGCCCTGAAATTCAAGTGCTGGGACCCATGTCCTCCAGGGGCAGCCGGGGACAAGGCCAGCAAAGCTCATACACAGGCAAAGAGCACCAGAGGCGACTCCTAGACACAGCTGACCCCAGGCAGGAAAGTGGCCGCAGAGCCCGGCCTGGACCGGGTCTGGGATGTGGCGTGGCCTTGGCAGGAGTGGGGGGGCAGGGGGTCCTGCACGTGCTTGGGCCCTGCGGTCATGTGGGAGACCTGGACAAGCAGGGGTCGTGCTGAGACACGGATGGCTGGGGGAGACGAGTTCTGACCAAAGAACGGATGCATTTCTACTCTCGGGGGGCTGGGGGGGCATATGGGTCAGTGTCCCTTGTAGGGGTGTTGGGAGGGGCAGGAGTGACAGTATTTTTTTCCTCCACCATTTAATATTCCCTGTTAGGGGGCCGGTGCTGCGGCACAGCGGGTAAAGTCGCCACCTGCAGTGTCAGATCCCATGTGGGCGCTGGTTCAAGTCCCTGTTGCTCCACTTCCGATCTAGCTCTCTGCTGTGGCCTGGGAAAGCAGTGGAAGATGGCCCAGGTCCTTGGGCCCCTGTGCCCACATGGGAGCCCTGGAAGAAGCTGCTGGCTTCCCATCAGTCCAGCTCTGGCCACTGTAGCCATTTGGGGAGTGAACCAGTGGATGGAAGTCCTCTCTCTCTCTGTCTCTCCCTTTCTCTCTCTGTAACTCTGCCTCTCAAATAAACAAACAACTTGTTAAAAAAGAAAAAATATTCCCTATTACTTTAGCTTTGATAATTTTTCAAATGGGCCAGGGAGGGTCCTGGGCAGATCTCGAGGCACCCCTCCCCCACTCACATGGCGCTGGCCGTGTAGCTGGCGTCGCCCCCCTCCACGTACTGCACCTGGCTGGCATACACGTGCGGCACGGACACCTGCTGCAGCTGCTGCACCTGGGGGGGGGGGGCAAGGCAGGGAGGGTCAGGGGCCCGGCCGGCCAGGACTCTGTCAGGGTAGCAGGGGGCAAGACGGGTGGGTGGGGGGTGACCCCGACAGGGTCCTTCAGCCTGCAGTCAGGGGCTGAACCAAGCATACGGACAAAGTTGCCGCCCAGAGCCACAGCCTGGATCCTAGGGGTGGGGCGTGCGTGACTGACAGGGGCCTCGAGGCGGGGCCTGGGAACGCGGTTGCTTAGGAAGGAGAGGGGTCTAAAATGACTGACAGGGCCTTGGGGGCCCCTACCTCCATCCCCCCTCCCCCGTGAGCAGGGCAGAAACCAGGGCCTGGCTCAGGCTTTGGTAGCCAGGGCCGGGTCCCCCAGAGCCTCCGGCCGGGCGGAGGGGGCGTCTACGGGGCACACAGGGCCTGGCGCCCCGCCCCCGCCCGCCCCCCCACCCCCGGCCTGGGGCGTCGGCCACCTACTTTGAGGGCTGTGGCGGCCGTGCTGAACACTAGCAAGTGGGGGACTCTCTGGATGCTGGCCCTCCGGTCGGGGCTGCCCCGAGCAGGGAGCCCGGGCAGTGGCTCCAGGACCACTTTCTGCGGCGGCAGGAGCAGGTGCGGGGGCAGCGTGCCCACCAGCTCCACCCACTGCTCGGCGCCGCCCGGCACGTAACGGGGCGGCGTGGGCTGGGGCTCTCGCTGCTCTGCCTTCCTAGCGAGAAACTGACTGCCTGAGGTCTAGGGGACAAACGAGAGACACTGGCAGGTCACCAGCGATCCCGCACCGCCGCCGCTGCCGCCCCGCTGCCTCCGGGAGGGGAGGGGGACCTCCCCCCACGCCCCCCACCAGGGCCAAGCTGGAAAGCTGCAGGGTTCCAGTCCAAAGCTCCCTCTCTCTCTTAGCAAAACCTGGTCCTGAGCTGCCAGGTGCCAAGGGGTTGTGGGGGGGAGGGGAGCCAAGAGCCCAGAGAGAGAGGTGGAGCTGGGAGCCCCACCCAGGAGGGTGCCTGGCCTTCCCTGGGGCCACAGGGGACCTGGATCCCTCCTGCCCCAGTCCCCAGCCCCGACCAACCCCACTTGGCCTTAGGGTAGCTGGGGGGAGGGGCACGCACCTCCTGAGCCACGTGGACTGGCTGCAGCCCCTGCACGGTCAGCTGCTGCACGGGGCCGGCTTTGGGCGCCTGCGGAGTGGCCTGGACCACAGACCTCTGCAGAGGGAAAGGCGAGTCAGAGGGCAGCGGCGGCGGCGGGGAGGCACTCCCCCACCCCACCCCCCCGCCGCAGCCGCCAATAGCCAGGCCCTGGGTTTGCCGCAACAGCATCAGTCTTGTAACCAAGAGACCCCACTCGGTTCTCTGGCTAATTCCGGGTGTGTGTGTGTTTGAGTTCTTTCACTGCAGGGGCCAGGCACCAACCAAGCACCTTCCAAATTCATTCAGGCATTGATCACTGCCCCCCCCGCCCCCCAATGCTCAGCAAGGGGAGGGCCCGCCTCCCGGCTCCCGCAGGTGCGCCAAGAACCAGGCAGGTAATGCCAGGGCTTAGTTAGCTTTTGCTCTTGTCCCTCCCCCCCCCCATCTTTGCTTTGGGTTGGGGGTGGGTGTATGGGATTTGGGCGGGGGGGGGGCCTCTGGCGCTGGGCAGGAAGACCTCTGGGGTGGGGCTCCTGCTTTTTTTGGAGGAAGATCGGGGTGGGGGGACCTTTATCATTTTTCCCCACGGGCTGGGCTCCCCCACCCCATCTTGTATGGTTGGAATCGCACAGCCCTGCCTCTCAAGCTGCTGGCCAAGAGATGGGGCAGGTGCCTCTGACCACCCTCCCGCCCCGCTCCCCAGAAGGCTGGGCCGCTCAGCCTTGGGCAGTGGCACCAAGGGGGCCAAGAGGAGTTCAGGAAGCAGCTCCCACAGCCTGCTCTGCACACGGCACCTGCCGCCAAGGTCCCAGCTCATCCTCCCGCCCCCTTCCCGCCCCCAGCCGCTACTGAGATGCTTTGAATGGAGACAAGCCCAGGAGGCGCGCCCTGGCCAGGCACCTCTTGGGTGACGGGGACGCTCTGCTGCACGCCGTGGATCTGCAGCTGTGGTGGCACCGCACCTGCGGGGGCCCCGGCCGTCTTGCCGGAGGAGCTGTTGGTCTGCACTGGGGATCGCTGTCAGGGAAGGAGACATGGGGACATCGCTGGGGCTTCTCTGGGGCCCAGCGGGGACCCGCGTGCAAATGCCAGCTCCCTGCAACAGCAGCCCTGGCCACCCCGGACGGGGCGGGTCCACTGAGGCTGGTCCTGGGGCCGACCCCCGCCTCACCAGGCACCACCCTGAGCCCTTTCTGCTCGCTCGTCGGGACCCCACCCCAGAATCCCCACTTCCCCGTGAGGCTCGGAGCAGGGGACCCGAGGCAGGCGCTGGGCTCCAGGGCCCCCTGTGTTCGTTCAGGGCTATGGTGAGTGGCTGTCATCACCAGCAGCTTTACACAGAGCAAAGCTCCAGGCTCTGGGAGCTTAGACCAGCCCGGGGTCCCCTGGGAGTTGAGGACTGAGCCAGGATTGACATCCTGGCCCCCAAGCTCCTGACTCCATGCCCCAGGAACACCTACACCCTGCCCCGCTGCATGGGTGGGTTCCTGGGGGTTCCCAGATCCGCCCTGGGGGCTCAAGCTCCCAGCCCGTGCCCACCCTGCAGAGGGAAGAGGAGCCAGCTCTGTTTGCTGGGGTGCAGCTCCCCCAAGAGAGGAAGCCGCAAAGGTATAGGTATAGGGGCTGGGAAGGGGGCGCTGGAGCAGGGAGGGATTAGGAGCAGTGACTGACGCACTACGGAGCCACAGGGCAGAGCAGGGAGACGGGAGGGGAGCAGGGCTGATGGGGCCGCCACCTACCTCTGGGGGTGAGTGTACCTGCTGGGTACCGTGGACCGTCAGGGAGACCTGGCCGCCCTTGCTGCCCGGTGCCGCGCTCTGCACCACCAGACGCTGCGTGGAGAGAGCCTGGGCGGGGGCGGGGGGGGGCATCACCAATGTGGCGCTCCAGAGCACTTGGGCCGAGCTGGGCCGTGTCCCAGGCACCCTGCACTGGTTTGCCCTGTCCTGGCCCCCACCCCAGAGTCTCAGGACGGACGGCATCACTCATCCCTGCTGTCACTCTGACACCTGCTCCGACTGTCCCCACATCCGCGGGCCATGGCTGCAACCTTCTGGGAGACAGGCCCTGTCCTGGCTGTGGGACCCCGGGGCCGCTGCCTGACACACGGTCTCGCCCCGTGGGCGTGGCTGCCCAGAGCCCAGATAGGGCCGCACGTCCTGGCTCCTGGCTCGAGCAGAGCCAATCCAGCCACGGGGGCGGAGGGGGCTTGGCCCTCGTCCCACGGAGGGGGTGGCTGCCAGCGCTGGGCCCAGGTGCGGCGGCCTTACCTGCTGGGGCACCTGGATGTTGGTGAGCTGCAGGGGTGACACGTGGCCCGGCTTGGCCTGTACCAGCAGCCGCTGTGGGGACCAGAGTAGGAGCTCAGCCAGGCTGGCTTCCCCAGGGAGGACTCAGCCCCCCAGGGGCCTGGAAGGTGGGCTGGGTAGCCTCTTGGTAAGAACAGGTGAGCAGATGGCCCTGGCAGGAAGGCGGGGAGGAGCGGCCTTCACCCACGCCCACGCCCCTCCCCCCAAGGAGGGCCCTGGTTTACCTGCTGGGTGCCCTGCACCTGCTGAACCACCTGTGTGGGCACACCAGTCTGGCTGGCCGGAGAGCCCGGGCTGGCCTCTGACAGGGTCTCGCTGGCCCTCATGGCACCTTCTGTGGGGGGGGGGGGTCACTGGGTCAGCTCTACCTGCCACCCCGGCCACGGCCACGGCCCTCAGCCTGAGCCAGTCTGGAGGGGACGAGGTAACCTAACATTGGCTCCCAGCACAGGGTGGGATAGGGAGCAGGCCTCTTGCAGGGCCCCACCTGTCCCCACGATCAGCCCACCATGGTGGACAGGGTGGACCTAGGAGGTCCCAGGTTCCTTGACATGCTAAGAAAGCAGTCCCCCCCCCAGCCCCGCGCCCCCAAAGAGCCGAGGCCACTGGGCCGCTTTTCCCATCAGAGCCAGTGTGGATGGGCGGTGCACCGCCTACCGCTCGCCCTGGGGCAGCCATCGCGGATGACTGCTGGCTGCCCAGAGGGAAGTGGAGGCTCAGCGGAGCCAAGGGCACCCCCCTGAGTGCCGGGCAGCGGGGCAGCGGGGCGGGGCAGCCAGGGGCCTGACGCTGGGGAGGCGGGTACTCACGCTGACCACCCGCCGAGAAGAGGCCATCAGAGAACATGCCCGCTCCCCCTCCACCCTCAGCCCTCCCGGCTCCGGCTCCAGCCTCTGCAGGAGCCGCAGGGTGCACGGGGGCGGCTTTATACCCACAACCTTGGCGAGCTAATCCCCCCAGCCAGCCCCCAAGCCCCTGCCTGCCGCCTGGATTGACGCCACCACCACCCCCACCCCCAGCAGCAGGGGCAGCCTCGGGTAAGGAGAGAGGCCGGCCCTGTGAGATGCTATCGGTCTGCTGGTACGGGTCGGATTTCAGGTACATCTCGCTGCGTGAAACACAGGGTGGGGGAATCGGGGGCTTGCTGGCCCGAAGACCCTGCCCAGCTGGGATGCCGTCTGCTTAAGAGCCTGCACCCCTTCCATCTGCAGATACAGCGATGCAGACCCAGAAGAGGACGTGGCTTGCCCAAGGTCACCCAGCTGGGAACCAGCAGCCAGGACCCGAGACCCTCTGTGTCTCCGTACAGCACAAAACCCCACACCAGGGGTGAAGTGCAGTCGCTGGGCCTGCCTGGGACGACGTGCAGGGGCAGGGGCGCAGGAAGCTGGGGGGTCCCAGAATTCCAGGGTGGGGCTCAGCTGCCAAAGGTGGCCTTGGATGGGTGGGGGCCAGGGCGAGAGGACCTTAAGGCCACATCCAGAGCAGAGCCCATGAGTGTGTGTCAGAGGCAGGGGAGCCGGATGTGGGAGGTAGCCTCCCCTTGGGGCCGGCAGCTGGAGGGTCCCAGGCCTGCCTGGCCAACTGCCCACACAGCCAATTCCAGGAGGCACCCGCTCCTCTGTTTTGCTGGAATCTTCCCCGAGCCAGGATGGGGGGAGGAGCCCGCCCTCCCCGGGAGAAACCTGACACAGCCCTGAATCACGTGAGGGGGCTCCACACACCTGGGTGTCTGCAGGGCACAGGCGACAGGCCCAGCCCCGAGCCGAAGGAAGAGGCCTGGGGTGCGCAGTGGAGGGCAGATGGCCCCTGTTACCCCCTAGACCTGCTGAGACCAGGCAGCCTGCTCGTGGGGTGGCCCTCGGCGTGGGCCACGCCCCTCCACCTGCCAGGCCGTGGGAGGGAAGGACAGGTCACTCCTTGGGAGGAGCCGGTGAGTCTACCCCTGGGATCTCGTGTGTATGTGCATGCGGTGGCAGGTGGAGGCGTGCTACGGGCCAGAGAGGCCAGGAGGAGCCGGTGAGCCTCTAAGTGTGTGCCTCTGTCCATGGGCTCCATTCTGGGCACGTGTATGGCGGCAGGTGCAGGCTGCCCCGTGCAGACTCGGTCCCCCAGAGGTGGGCCTCGGAGGCGGGGCCCCCGCTCTCCTGTCCCCAAGGATGGTGACTTCAGCCATCTGAAATCTGTCCTGATCTCCCTCCACCTGGGGTGCGCCTGCGGTGCCGACAGCGCCCTCTGCCGCCCGGTTCCAGACATGCACTTCTGTGGACACTCCTAGGGACCCCCAAGTGAGAGAGAAGCAGGGGAGAGGCGGGAGAGGGCTGGGCCACAGCTTCGTCCTCCCCAGTAGTGGCTGCCAGTGTGGGCTGTGGCTGGATGAGGGGCAGGAGGGTTGGATGAGCCGGCTCCAGTGCCAGGCTGCCTTCAGGCCCAGCTCCAGGTCTGGGTTCACAGCCCTCCCTGCCCCCACCCTTCCTGCTGACTCCCTGGGTCCCTGGACAGCTCAGACTGCTCCTGGCACAGCCTCGCTGGTGTCAGTTACCCTCCTGCCCCGGCCCCCCCATGGCTCACGTGGCCCAGGCTGCCCTGACAGGAGACAGGGGCATTAACCAGGGAGAGGGGTTGGGGGCCAACCTCTTCCTCTCCAGGACAAATCGGGGAAGCACTGGGAGTGGCCCTTCCGGGGACAGGCTTGCTCCTGGTGGCGGCAGGAGTTGCAGGAAAAAATGAAATAATGAAATGCCAGGACCGTGGTGACTAAGCTGCTGGCAAGTAGGGGGGCGGGCAGGGGAGAGCCGGGTTGGCTGGTTTGTTGCAGCCCACCCTTGTGGGTATGGGGTGTCCCACGGCATGCCACCAAGGTTGTTGGGGACATGGGCCACCTCCCCAGTCCCTGCAGCTGGTCAGAGTCCAGCCTGGGTGTGTCTGACCCAAAGGCCAGGCAGTGGGGCTTCTCACGGGCATGAGGGGGCAAGCCGGGGGTCTTCTGGGCCCTGGAGCTGTGTGCCCACTCCAGACCCTCCCTCTGGGGACCCTGGCCCCTGAGGCATGAGCTAGCCGCACCCAGGCTGACCACACAGACACCCCTCCTGTGTGTCTGCTCTTGGCCACGGCGGGGGGAGGGGGGCTGATGGGATGTGATGGCCACACCAGGTGTCCTCTGTGTCATTCCAGAGACCCAGGGGACAGAGCCCCGCCCTCCTGGTTAACAGGTGGGGGAGGGGGGTGCTGGCATCATCCTATGGCAATAAGTGCTAAGAGGAGAAGGGGGGGTGAGGAGGTGATGTCTGAGCAGAGACTGGAAGGAGACAAGGGACAGGCTAGCAGGGGCCTGGCGTGGGAGCGCCGCGAGCAGGGGCCCTGCAGGTGCTAAGGCTGGGAGGCAGGCCTGAGCCTGGCAGCCCTGCAAGAGTAAGGGGCCCGGGAGTGTGGAGCTCGTAAGGCCCTTTCGTGTTGGGGTATGGCGGAGGTGGACAGCGAGCTCAGGCCCGGGAGCTTTCACAGAGAACCCCTGAGGGAGCTGGGCTGAGCTCGGAGGTGAGGGGACCCAGACGACAGCGGTGGCAGGGCTGTGTGGGGTGGGACAGGCGGGGGGGGGGGGGGGCTGGGTCCGCCTTGTGGATCCTGAGGAAGGGACAAGGCAGACCGTCGTGGAACGCGTCCTGGAGGGGCGGCGAGCGAGCGGTGGGTGCAGGCGCCGGGCGGGGCCCCCAGGAAGGGCAGCTGCAGGGTCAGGGGCTTGAGAGCCAGGGGAGACACAGAGGGGAGGGCGGCGGGGGTGGGGCACGATTCTTGCAGCACAGGGCAGAGGACAACGCTGGTGGGGAAGTTGTCACGGGACCCCTGGGTGGCACTGAGACCCTGGCCCTGGTGACCCTGGCCACGTGCACACAGCCTGGCCTCAACCAGGGCAGGGCTGGGTCTGCACAGATGGGGTGGGAGCCGGCCTCCCCGCCAGTCCTTTCAGTAAAGGGTTCTGGCCCTGAGGCCTGGCCAGCCCCACCTGCTGGCCTTCCCTGGGGGCCCCAGACTCCCGTACAGGCGCTGCTGGAAGCCTCTGGGGCGCCCTGTCCCGCTCTCTGCCCCGCTCCCCTCGTGGTCTGGTTCTACTGGACCACAGGAACTGCCACAAGGCCTGATGATGCCCCTGGTCCTCACCTGGACCTGCCCCCTGCCCAGGGCGCCCAGACAGCCACTGCCTTGTCCCTACCAGGAAGGAGTAAGAGGTCAAGTACACCCCCTGCCACCACTGCAAAAGGCGCTGCGGCCTCAGAGGAGCCACTACCCGTCCCAACCCCACGCTCCCCGTCACACGGCCAGGGCCTGTGCCAGCAGGAACCAGAGCAGGACAGCAAAACCCCATGGACACCAGAGACCGAGTTCTGGCCATCTCCTCCATGGCCGCCAGGGCCGGCTAAGGTGGGGAGAGGGTTCCCTCGACCTTGCACTCGCCCACAAACTCACCCAACCCATAGCCCTGCTCTGCTCTCGCAGCGGGAGGAGGGAGGTGACCCCCTGCGGGCCGCCCAGTCCACCTCCCCGAAGGGTCCACTCGGGGCCCACCCAGCTGGACGCACCCCACATGCACCCTCTGAGAGCAAGACGCAGCGACGACCCCTTTACAGACCAGGAAACTGAGGCAGGCGGGCCGCCTCTGGCTCCTACAGGTGGTCTGCACACTCTGCCCCTCACAGCCTCCAAGATGCCCCACGCCTCCCGGAAACCCCCCCAGCGAGCACAGGCGCACTTACCGGCGACGGTGACCACGATGTACTGCTGGGACGCGGCGGCCGGGGTGGGCGCACCGGCCGCCTGCGGGGGCGCCGGGGCAGCCGAGAGCTCCGTCACATACTGCTTCTGGCTGCCGGGCGGCTGCGCCTGGGGCTGGGGGTTCTGCAGCTCCGTGACATACTGGGGCTGGGGGGTGGCGGCGGCGGCGGCAGCCGCGGCGACAGGGGGCTGCGGGGGCTGGGGAGCCGCGGACGGGGGCGGCGGCGGCGGAGGCGGGGCCTGGGGCGGGGCCTGCGGCGGCTGGGATGCTTGCGGGACGGCCTGCATCTCAGCGCCGTACGCTTGGGTTGCCATGCCAACAGTGGGGAAAATGGTAATAAATAAGGCTTTTTTTTTTTCCTTTCTCTTCCTTGGGATGAAAGAAGGGACGGGGCGGGGAGAGAAAAAGAAAAACAAAACAAAACGAAAGAAAAAAAAAAAAAACAAGAATTAATCGACAGGCGGAGAAAAGCTGGGGTGGCTCCAGGCTCCCTGGCAATGCACGTGGGGTCGTGGCTGAGGAGGTCCGGAGCTGGGGCCAGACCTGTCCACCCTGGGCGCTGCAGGGGAGCTGGGGCCCCACAGGTCACCCCCCAGGGGGCCAGGTCCTGCTTTCCTATGGGGCCCCCACCCAGAGACAACAGAGCTCTGGCTGCAGCCAGCTCACTCATTTCCTTGTACAACTTGCAACCCCCACCCCCGTCTGGGTCTGGGCTGGGGGTGGGAGTGGGGCTGAGGCTCAGAGAGGCTGAGGTGCTGCCTCAGGTCACACAGCAGGGAAGCAGTGAGGCTGAACTTGAAGCACCACGGGGGTGGGGGACTGGGGGGGCATTCTTGTCCCCCCCAACACACATACACCTCTGCCACCTGAGCATCACTCCCAGCGGGGCTCCAGGCACAGGAAGGTGTTGGGAGTCCAAAAAGCCCCCCACCCAGGGACAACCCTGTACTTGGGTGCCCTGGGGTGTGACTCCCAAGGGAAGGAGGAAGAGAAAAACAACTGCTCGCTGGTCTAAGCCCTCTGCCCGCCACGCACCGCCTCCCCACAGGAGCCATCATGCCCATTTAACAGATAGACTGAGTGAGACTGCCAAAGGCCTCCCAGCAGGCAGGGAGGGCGGGGCCTGGAACCCAGGTGTTTGCTACATACCCCCACCCCCGCACAGAGCTGATTTACTTCTCACAATCCACAGATGGCGCTGTCCCTGCTTCTCTTGCTGGGAGACCCAGGCAGCACCTGCAGGTGAGACCACCCGCCCAGAGCAGCAGGACTGGGCGACAGGCAGCCAACTCGGGCAAGCTAAGGGAGGTCAGAACTCAGGGGTTCCCGCTGGACCCCCGCTGCCCAGGACCTGGCTCTGTCCTTAAGATCCCGCCTCAATGCCGCGGCTCACTAGGCTAATCCTCCACCTTGCAGCGCCGGCACACCAGGTTCTAGTCCTGGTTGGGGCGCCGGATTCTGTCCTGGTTGCCCCTCTTCCAGGCCAGCTCTCTGCTGTGGCCAGGGAGTGCAGTGGAGGATGGCCCAGGTGCTTGGGCCCTGCACCCCATGGGAGACCAGGAAAAGCACCTGGCTCCTGCCATCGGATCAGCGTGGTGCGCCGGCCGCAGTGCGCCAGCTGCGGCAGCCACTGGGGGATGAACCAACGGAAGACCTTTCTCTCTGTCTCTCTCTCACTGTCCACTCTGCCTGTCAAAAAAAAAAAAATCCTGCCTCAAGAGGGCACAAGGCAGGGCCAGAGGCACCCCTTGAACCTGGCTACCTCCTTCCTCTGTGACTTTGGGGGGAGGGCTCTGCTGCCCCTCTGTGACACGGGGGTACTGCAGGCCTTACCACGCGGGAGGCGCAGGGGCTCGGGCGGTGCCATCCAAGCACTGGGCGAACAGTAAAAAGTGCCCAGGAAACAGCTCTGGCTCTGGTCCCTGCCCAGAACAAAACTCTGGGACAGACAAAGGAGGCTCCTGGCCCTGCCTCTGGAGCTTGGGGACCAAAGGGCCTTGGGGTGGGGGTAGCAGGTGTCTCTGCCTGCTACTTGGGTGGGCTCAACTCTGCTGGATGGCATGGGCGGTGGGCATGGTGTCATTAATCTGTCTCTCACAAGGGAACCCTTTGTTCCACTTGTAAAGAAGCGCCATACAAAGGTGCCCATCTACCCAGAGCGTACAGCCTCCCCGCACACATGAAGCCTCTTTCTTTATGGTGTGGGGCACATTAAAAACAGGGGGGGAGAAGGCTGAATAAACCCAGGCCGTGGCAACGAATCTCCCAAGCAAAGCGCTAGTGGCTGCACCTATCCTCAATGCCGGCAGCCGTGTAGGGGAATGTCGGAGCCTATTAGATTAGGGACCCACAGATTCCTGGGAGGGGCCGGACAGTCCATATTTTCAGCCTCCAGTCTGACGGCCTCGGCTGCTGCTGCTGCTGACAACGTGGACACAATCGAGCAGCCCGTTTGCCAAGAAAACTTTATTTCCGGACACTGAAGCTCGGGTTTCAAAACAGTCTCCCCTGGATCCATCCGGGTCCTGTCTATCTTGGGCGAGGCCGCCCCAGGAACACTCACTCACTCTCCTCCTCCGTAGAATGGCTTCAGGCGCCGGCTACCCGGGTGTGAGGTGTGGGAGAATTAAAATGTAAGTGATGTCGGTTTCTCTTGCCCAGTGTATCCAGTTCCTCTCTGAGACACCTGTCAATGATTCTCCCCGCGGTGGTCATCACAGCCGCCGCAATCTCTCTCTCTCTCTCTCTCTCTCTTCCTGCAGGATCCCAGGAATCTCAGCCCTCCTGTCCAGCTTCCCGTCTTTCTAGCCAAACCGGCTCTTGGCACAGAACATGGGACCCTCTGCCTCAGGGCCAGCTCTCCCCACCCCACCCCTGCCTCAGGGCATCCGTCACCTCCTCTGGTCTCTGTGCAGTGAGCACACCTCTTCCTGCTTTCTCTTCTGTGTCCTCAGGGGCCTGCCTCAACTCCCCCTCCCACCCCGCCTGAGTGGGCACGCCCACAGTGGCTCACGGGAGACTGCTGGCACCCTGCAGAAGGCCCTGCCTGGCCAGCCCGGCCCCTGAGATGCTCAGGTTTGGGGTGCCAGCGAGGACCTCAGCTCCACAGGCTGCCTCCAGGCCCTGGCCCTGAGCACTTCCCTAATGCCACAGATGGGGCCACCGTCCAGCAGCTGGGACAGTGACCCCCACCCCGGCCAGCACCTGGAGTCCCCGTGTGCAGCTTCTGGGGTCCCTGATGCTAACTCACATGGCCCAGCACAAGCCGAGCCAACCTTTAAAGGCACTGGGAGTGCTAGCACTCGGCCATAGAGAGCTGCTGCCTGCGGCACCGGCATCCCACACAGGCGCTGGTTTGAGTCCCAGCTGCTCCACTTCCAGTCCAGCTCTCTGCTATGGCCTGGGAAAGCAGTGGAAGATGACCCAAGTCCTTGGACCCCTGCACCTGCGTGGGAGACCTGGAGGAAGCTCCTGGCTCCTGGCTTTGGATTGGCGCAGCACCAGCTGTTGTGGCCAAATGGGAAGTGTACCAGCGGATGGAAGACCTTTCTCTCTCTCTCTCTCTGTCTCTGCCTTTCAAATAATAAAACATCTTTAAAAACAAATCAGTAAAGCTACCGGGCTCTCACTCAGTATGATAAAAATCAACACCCACAGCTCAACAAATCAACACCCACAGCTCGACGTCAACAACCATCGTCATGACGTCATGGCTACGCGATGCGGGCAGGGCGGTTCTGGGGTAGCTGCTGCACCATCCAGGCGGCCGCTCGGCGCAGTGACAGGAGACTAAAAGAATTCAGGCGAGCGACTGCCCCAGAGACCAGCTGACACAGCCCCAGCGGGGGTCTCTCCCTAGGCAATGACCCCTCTGCACCTGGGTGGGTGGTGCCCAGGGCCAGCCCCCAAGGCGGCCTCTCTCCGATCTGCAGTCTAAGAAGTGAAAAAAAAAAAAAAAAAAAACCACCGGAGGATGAGACCGCCCGCCCCCCGCCCCCCCCAATCCTCCTAACCCCGATCTCAAGCCCTTGGGAGCGACGCTGGAAACGGACATTTTCTTAGGAGCGGATCGGTTTGTGTGCCCACCAAGCTCAACGACCAACACAGGAAAGCCACTGCGGGCCCGGCCCGGCTGGCAACTTGCAAAAATCTACACCCCTCCCCCCTGCCTCCTTCCCGCTCCAGGCTGGCGGGTCTGGTGGCCCCGAAAAACAATTACAAAGATTCTCCGCTGACAAACGAGGATACCCATCCCCTTCCCTTGACCGCTGCGGCCTGCCGCTGCGCCAGCCCACGTGGCCCCGGGGACGCCTGCTACCCCGGCAAGTGACATGTGACCCGGCCGGCACCAACTTGACACAAAATCATGTGTGTGCTGGCCAGGAGGAGCGGCCAAAGGGATAAAAAAAAAAAAAATCCAGTAACAACTTCCTCAGGCGCCCTTGGCCGCCCCATGCCCAGAAAGGGGGGGACGCTGATGGGCAGAAGAGGGGGAAGCAGCAATCCTGTCACCTCCAGCAGGCACCCCAACCCCAGTCTCACTTCCCCTAAATCTCACTCAGGACCTCCGCCACCCTGCCAGGGGCTTCGAGGTCGCCAGCGCCCCAGGCTCCCAGACAGAAGACAGGGCTGAAGCTAAGGTTAGCTAATCCCCACTCAGAACCACATTCCGAAACAAGAGCTGGGGCTCCAAGGTTCCAAGGGGAACACCCCCCGGGAAAAACGCCTGCAGGGACTTGGGCGGGAGACCCCGGACTGTAGGAGGAGAAGCGGACAGGGAATCCACTCTGCCCATTTCGCAGAAGGGAAAACTGAGATCTCGCCTGCGCCAGGCCCTCCGCGTCCTAGCTGAGTCCTGGGGACGGCGGAGGAGCCCAGAGGCGCAGGTGGCCCGGGACAGCCCCACCCGGCTCCCGCAGGGGGAAGCCGCCGGCTCCGCCCACACCTTTCCGCCAGGCCCCGCCTACCCGCGGCCCGCTCCTTCCCATTGGCCCAGCCCCCCCCCAGGCCTGCCCCTTCGCGCCTCCCCATATAAAAGCCCCCCGCCCGGGCCGCGCGACCGCCACTCGCAGCCGGCCTGCGAGCGCCCGCCCCTCGCGGGTGGCGTCGCCCCGGCCGGGCCCCGGCCCCCTCCCCCCACGGCCGCCATTTTGGCCGCCCGCCCCTTCCCCCCGGGCTGTGACTGCGGCGCCGCCCGCTGCCTGCGCCCCGGCCCGGCCCGCCGCCCCGGGGCCGCCCCGGTTACCTCGGCTTCTGCCCGCTTCCGTCCGCGGAGGGGCCCCGCGGAGCTGTCGGAGGCGGTGTGGCGAGGGGGACGGGACGCGCCGGGGCCCCCGGGCTGGGCCGGGGGCGTGGGGGCGGGGGTCGGCAGGGCGCTTGTTGTTGTTGACTCGCGTTGCCGGGTTGCTTGGTCGCCACGACTACCGTGGCTATGGCGCCTCCGTTTCCCTCACCGGGGCAACTGTTGCTACCCACCCTACTGACGTCACGCGCCGGGGCGGGGCCCTGGGCGATTGGCGGTGCCGGGCCGTGCCGCTTGGCTATTGGCCGCCAGGCACGCTTTTCAACACCCTCTTGACTGCCTGGCGCTCCGATTCGGCAAGGCGAATGTCCATCAAAAGAAACTGAACACTCAAAGGCCGGAGAGTGCGCCGCTCCCTCCGGGAAGCCGAGGGCTAAGAATAGAGGGGTGGGGTCTGTGAGGCCGGGGATTGGCGAGCGGCTGTGAAACCAGCCTTCTTGTTCGACTACGGAAACGCCAATCTACACCGAAGCTTTACCGCGTTCCCTGGCCGGAGGCTGTGCGCCTGCGCCCCCCGCACAAGGCCTCCTGGGAGTTGTAGTCCGCCTCTCCGTACTCACCAAATGGAAAACAGCGAGAAAAGAAGCAGCTCTGCCTTCGGTCGTCTTCCTCCCTCGGGAAGCCGGGGTCTGGCCCCTGGCGCTGACGTCACGGGGGGGAATGCGGTGACGCAGCACCGCCCTCTGTGACGTCACCGGGCGCGCGCTTCCCCACCCCCGGCCCGTGGCCCTTGGCGGGTGGGCTGGGGTGGGCGCGGGCAGCCGCTGTGGGCCCGGGAAAGGTCACCGCCGCCCCGGCGGCCGCCCAGGGAAAGGTCTCCCGCCGGCGGGCGATAAGCAAAGGTCAGCGCCGGCCCTGCACGCGGGCGCGGGGGCCCCCGGCTGCAGGAGCTCCCCATGCTCGCGTGCAAGGTGCAGAAGAAACCCGTGAGCAGAGTTAGGGGTGTTCCGCAAGCAGAGCCCGATCTGCCAACGAAAATGCTTTTTTTTTTTTGTATTCAGGATTTTTGCCCACTCTCAACCGCTAGGGCTGGGGAACATGAGTAACTGTTTGGGAAAACGGATATGTTAATTTGTTCCTCTATAGTAACACTGTTACTCTAGCTCGTAGTAAGCACCCTATGTGTTATAACGTCTTGTATCCCTTAAAGATACACCAAGGTGATTTTTCAAATGACGTCCGTGTTCTTGGATTTGCCTGAGTTTTTTTAAATAAATCTTTTTAAACACTTTTGGTCATTGTACCGGTTTTTTTTTTTTTTTTTTTTTTTTTTTTTGTCTTTAGGTTTAGGTAGGCTTCATTTTTTTTAAGATTTTTTTTTTAAGATTTATTTATTTGAGAGGCAGAGTTACAGGCTGAAAGGGAGACACACACACACACACACAGAAGTCTTCCATCCACTGGCTCACTCCCCAGTTGGCCACAATGACCAGAGCTGGGCCAGGCTGAAGCTGGGAACCAGGAATTCTTCCTGGATCTCCCATGCAGGTGCAGGGGCCCAAACACTTGGGTCATCTTCCACTGTTTTCCCAAGCCATAGCAGCTGGATCGGAAGTGGAGCAGCCGGGACTCGAACCGGTGCCCCTATGAGATGCCTGCGCTGCAGGTGGCAGTTTTACCTGCTACACCACAGCGCCGCCCCTCTTTTTAAAGTATTAATTCTTCTGATGACTAAGCTGTTTTTGGCTCCTCCTTCAGTGTCTTCCCAGGAAGCTCTGAGCCCCGCTGCTTGCTGGGTTCTAATCCCCAGCTCTGCTGTGTGACACTGGGGAAGTGGCTGCGTCTCTCTGGGCTGCTGTTTCCTAGTTCCAGCCGGGTTCCGTGCAAAGGCCTGGGAGAGGACAGACAGGTCCCCTCATTTGAGGTGAGCATGGTGAGGGGTCCTCGGGAATGTGCCAGAAAGGCGCAGGGGCCTGCAGCTGTGATGCCTGTGGCTGGAACATCTGGCTAAGGTGCCGGGAGACGGGGCAGCAGCAGCTGGAAATTTCCCAGAGTGGGTTAAGCGGGCGATGAGGGCTGGTTCCAGTCCTGGCTGCTCCACTTCTGATCCAGCTCCCTGCGAATGCACCTGGGAAGGCAGCGGAAGACGGCCTAAGTGCTGGGGCCCCCAAAACCCACATGGGAGACCCGATGGAGCTCCTGGCTCCTGGCTTCTGCCTGGCCCAGCACTGGGTGTTGCAGCCATCTGGGAAGTGACCCAGAGGATGGAAGAGTCTCTCTCTCTGCCTCTCTGTAACTCTGCCTTTCAAATAAATAAATCTTAAAAAAACAAACAAACAAAAAACACTTCAAGATGTCCATGTCAGCAGGAAGCAGCTCTAAAGACAGATCTGGTCCCTCCACCCCTCCTGGACTTTCGGGGCTCATCTAACCCGTACAACTCTTGCCTTTTTTTTTTTTAAAGGGGGGGGCTGTTAGTGAAATGGTGCAGTCTTGTCTGTGGTGTGACCTACGCCCCGACACCATCCTAGGCTCTAGCCCCCACCCCGCTGCCATTGTTGGGAGCCAGGGAACCCCATGGCCCAACCACAGGTGTCAGCTCAACCCCCACCCCAATGGGATTCACTGCTCCCACTTCCCTGCCCGACCCCGGGCGAACACGTGCTCGCTCTCTCGCGCTCTCTCCTCTCGACCACCCCCCCACCCCCGGCTGGTAGGGCTTCCCCCACCCACAATAAACCTTTTCCTAAAAAAAGAACTTGTGGCCGGCGCTGCGGCTCACTAGGCTAATCCTCCGCCTTGCGGCGCCAGCACACCGGGTTCTAGTCCCGGTTGGGGCACCAGATTCTATCCTGGTTGCCCCTCTTCCAGGCCAGCTCTCTGCTGTGGCCAGGGAGTGCAGTGGAGGATGGCCCAAGTGCTTGGGCCCTGAACCCCATGGGAGACCAGGAGAAGCACCTGGCTCCTGGCTTCGGATCAGCGTGGTGCGCCGGCCGCAGCGCGCCGGCCACGCCGGCCATTGGAGGGTGAACCAACGGCAAAGAAAGACCTTTCTCTCTGTCTCTCAATCTCACTGCCCACTCTGCCTGTCAAAACAAACAAAACAACAACAACAACAACAACTTGTAGTCCAGAATCTTCAGCATACAAGCCTGAGTATTTTTGCTTTCTGTCCAGCGGGCATAGGGGGTGAATACTAGGCTGCTGTTACCAGCAACCCTTTCAACCTGTGTACCTGTGGTGTAAAAGGGAAAAAAAAATAATATGTATTTATTTGAGGGCTAGAGAGAGAAACTTCTGTCCCTGGCTCCTTCCCCAAAGGCCCCACAAGAGCCAGGAGCTCAGAACTCCATCCAGGTCTCCTGTGTGGGTGGCAGGGACCCAAGGTCTTGAGGGCCACCTGCTGCCTCCCAGGGTGTGCGCATGTGCAGGGCGCTGGGCTCATCCCGTCGGAGCCAGGAACAGAATCCAGCCACCAACACATGGCCACTGCTAAGCTAAACACCCAGCCCCGTTACTGAGACCTATTGAAACATTGTTGCAAAAAAGCCCTTGATACAGTGGATCCTGGGGCTCGGGAAAGCTCAGCCAAACAGATACTGAGGCACAAGGCGTTGACTGTGGAGTCTTGATGAGTTAACACCATCTTGGAATCCACAGCTGGAGTCACTGCAACCTACAGCCTACAGGACAAGAAGCTGGGAAAAAAAAAAAAAAAAAAAGAATGCATTGATATTCACCAAGAATGAAAAAAAAAATCTGAAAGGTTATCTCCCTGGCTCCTTGGATATGTAGAAGAAAAAGGCTTGGGACACCATCCACCTTTATCTTTTTTTTTTTTTCTTATATATCTCCAAGTGGAAAGGCAGGTTTTTTTGTTGGGAAAAAGCTGGAGGAAGAAGACTTGGCCTTTGGAAGAAAATGCAACAATGTAGCACCAACCTAAAAGAAGTTAAGCCAATTCCAGCAACTGGGGTTCTTCCCCATAGCTGTTTCAAGCAGCCCCTACCTGTCCAGGGGACACACAGACACCTTCAAGAAACCGGTATGGATTCAGGAAAACCCGAGCGATTGGAGATCTGAGACGGACGGTTGGATATTAAATCAGCGAGGGCTTTGCCTGGGCTGTCCGAGGCGAGATGGAGGCTGGGGAGAGGCGGAACTCGGTCAGATAGGGTTCAAGGGTACGGGGGGGGGGGGGGTGCAGGTGGCCGAGTGGGAAGTGAGGCATGCCAGAAGTGAGTCTCTGGGGACAGGAAGCCAGGTTAGGCACCTGTGCAGCCGCATGTTGGAGTCTCTGGCCATCAGCAGCTATTTAAACTAAAACCTGGTGTTGGCGTTTGTGTTTCGGTGGGCTAAGCTGCCGTCTGTGACGCCAGCATCTGGTATCGGAGCGCAGGTTTGAGTCCCGGCTTCTCTGCTTCCCATCCAGCTCCCGGCTGATGCACCTGGGAAAGCAGTGGACGATGGTCCAAGTGCTATGGCGCCAGTATGCATGTGGGAGACCCAGATGAAGCTCCTGGCTTCAGCCTGGCTAGGTCCAGCTATTGTGGGCATTTGGGGAGTGAACCAGCAGGTGGGAGATCCCTGGCTGTGTGTCTTTCTGTCTTTCAGGTAAATAAACGAATATTTATTTTCAATAGTAAAAAGAAGGCCGGGGCTGCGGCTCAATAGGCTAATCCTCTGCCTTGCAGCGCCGGCACACCGGGTTCTAGTCCTGGTCGGGGTGCCGGATTCTGTCCCGGTTGCCCCTCTTCCAGGCCAGCTCTCTGCTGTGGCCAGGGAGTGCAGTGGAGGATGGCCCAGGTGCTTGGGCCCTGCACCCCATGGGAGACCAGGAAAAGCACCTGGCTCCTGCCTTCAGATCAGCATGGTGCACCAGCGGCAGCCATTGGAGGGTGAGCAAACAGCAAAAGGAAGACCTTTCTCTCTGTCTCTCTCTCTCACTGTCCACTCTGCCTGTCAAAAGAAAAAAATAGTAAAAAGAGAAGTTTGGGGCAGAGCTGTGACATAGTGGGTAAAGCCGGCAGTGCCAGCATCCCATATGGGCGCTGGTTCGAGTCCCAGCTGCTCCATTTCCGATCCAGCCTTCTGCTATGGCCTGGGAAAGCAGTGGAAGATGGCCCAAGTCCTTGGGTCCCTGCACCTGTGTGGGGGACCTGGAAGAAGCTCCTGGCTCCTGACTTCAGCCTGGCGCAGGCTTGGCTATTGTGGGGCATTTGGGGAATGAACTAGCAGATGGAAGACCTCTCTCTCTCTCACTTCTCTCTCTCTCTGTGTGTGTCTCTCCTACTCTGCCTTTCAAATCTTTTGTTAAGGTAATTTATGGAGAGTTTACACACATGCCCTTACATGTGTATCAAATGACGTTTCTACAGATTCTTGAAACTAAATAAAGAAAAAAAGGGAGCCAGTGCTGAGGCACATTGGGTTAAGCTTCCACCTGCAGCACCGACATCCCCTATGGGCACCTGCTCCCTTTCTGATATAGCTCTCTGCTACGGCCTGGGAAAGCAGTAGAAGATGGCCCAAATCCTTGGGCCCCTGCACCCGTGTGGGAGACCTGGAGATCCATTGGTTCACTCCCCACATGGCCACAAACGGCCTGGGCTGGGTCAAGCCAAACCCAGGAACCAAAAACCTCATCCGGGTCTCCCACATGAGTGCAGGGGCCCAAGCACTTGGGCCATCCTCCACTGCTT